TCTAGGTCCACAAAACATATGTGCTCCCACAATTTCTCAACAATCTGGCGCAAGGAAAACATATTGTCAGAGGTGCTTCGCCCAGGCCGGAAGCCACGCTGCCCTTCTTGTATCTTGAGCATAATGCAATAACAACATAGAAGGCATAATTAAAAGTCGAAGGAAGGCGCCATAGAAGAGTTTCAAGCATATCAAAACATCTCCTCCGGGATTACGAAGAAACAACTGTTCTACTCTGTCGTCCTATGTTGCTTTTCCCTCCTCCCTCCGCCCATGATAAGGCTCGGACTACTGATCGACCGCCAAGGCTGAAGAAAAGAACTATTAGTAGCGTAGATAGTGATGATAAGAAATATGCTACGCTTATCTGTTATAGTTCGATGCTGGATAATTTCTGGATGCATTTAATGGCACTTACTCGAAGTTACGAAGGACTGGCCATGTAGCAACGACAGAACCAGATACAACCAGTCAAGCTTCGAGAAAGCAACAGTTGTAATCTTTGGCATATCTCATCTGTCCAAGAAGCTGCAACGGAACGCTTCTAACCTAGTTAGGTAAAGCTTCTACTCCTTCCATGTGCTAGGTATATTGGTGGATGCTTCGATGCCCAAAGAAGATGTTCGCAAAGGACAGTCCGTTGTTTCACAAAGATGGAAAAATTTCATGACATAGTTGAGGTCGTTAGAGCCGTTCTTTCCAATCACGCCTTTCCACTTCTGAGTTTCTGCTAAGACATGCGCATTAAAAAGAGGGAATCTGTAGTCGACTCTTTGTACGTATCACATTCCACTTTTTCAAACAAGGGCTCATATTCTTCTTCCAAATTAGGCGCATAGACGTGTAACAAGGTCGACGTTTTAGCCTGTTGTAGCTTCGGTCGGAGGATTGCAACCTTTCCTATAATAGGCTTCCGTTCAGTGATTCTGTCAGCAAGGCTGGTTTCTAACAGAACAACAACACGGCCTGAGCGCCCGTCGTGAGGCGGACACTGGAGTGGAACAGCTTCCACCAACAAAGTTTCCGGATTGAAGAGCCGCTATGCTTCGTTGACGAAATTTAAACTATATCGAGTTGGTACCCTGCGGCCTCCTCAGTCAGTGCCTGAGTTTTCCTTCTAAGTGAGGATATATTCCAATTTACAACCGTTAAGCTTCCAGAAGCGGTATCGCTCCCGTGGAGTAACTTCTGACATGCTATAATGCACGCGCTGTCTGCGTCCTCGTTTCAGAACGGATAGCGGCTCCACTGATTGATATATTCTTCGTGGTTTTTTTTGATTTTTCGAGGACGTTATCGTGTTTATGTGCCACAGTGTGTCAGAAGGCGATAAACAAGTTCTGATCGCCGGTTTTTCGGAACATACCGCAGTCCCCCATCAGTCATCGAGGCCCTTGGTAACCCGGGCGAAGACGGAACCGGTAGAAACTTCGATGACGACAATACCATGATGGATAGGTAGCCAAGTTTTAAGGTTTATTCGAACTCTCTCTCCAACCCTTCTCCTTTCTCATTAAGACTTGGAACGAACAATGGCGGAGTTAAGTGACTAGGTATAAAATTAATTTCCAAGGCAGGTCTCAAGCTTCGGCGCCATCTTTCTCAGGTGAAGTCTCTCTAGAGGCAGGAGAGAGTCAAGGCAATATCCCAATAACTACAGTGTCCGCCGCGAATGCGTGTTAGATAGACGCATACTGGTAAAATCGTCAATAGATTCAATTATAGAAAAAAAATCACTATGAGCATTTATAACGAAAGATTAACGCTAAATCCAACGGAACCGGACAAAACAACAATGACATGGGCGAAGACAGAGCAAAAGATCCATTCAAGTTGAAATGAATGCAGAAAGAAGGCATAAAAGTAAAGACATTGACAAAGGAAGATCACAATGCTCAAAGGGAAATGAGAATTGTGTTCGTTAAAAGGAACTACACAAGTGGAAAGTAAAAATGGAACTTCATGTGTAAACCTGCTAATGCGTGAACAGCCGTAATGATGAAGACATGACCATCATTCTTATAGCGAGAGCAGTTAAAGTAGACAAATGCAAAAATGCTTCTGAACCTGTTTGCCTAACTATCGTAAACTTCATCGTTATGTTTAATGCGCTTAAGCATGAAGATGAAATTCAAGAAGCAATAACCGCCCTGCCCTTGTGAAGTTTTAGCGAATTATTTCCCTTGATAATTAATTAAGTATTATTCGAAACGTCGGAAATTTATACGCAGAAGAAGAATTTGCCTTTGGAAGACAACTATGAAACTGCATGCTCTTTGTAGTGCTCATTTTATAGGTCAAAGTTTTGACAAAAGGTTTAGTTTTAGTATAGAGATGCTTTGTTTCTTTACTTCGAGTAGGAGTGAAGGAATATGGCCATAACTTGTTTACAATGGCGCTAGCAAAATAATAGACCGATCTCCGGTAAGCTAAATATTTCGAGCAACAAAAACTAATTCAGGACAACTTGACATTCATGCAAACGAAAGGTGCTTGTTAATTCCCATTGACTGCAATAAAACTGCTACCTCAGATGTAAACACGATCCTGCGTTGTAGTTCTGCTTACACCGCTATCTGCCATGATAAGCTGTGGGGCATAGTTGACGCTCATATCGGCTGTCTTCCTCCGTATTGGCAGTGTGGGTATCGTTCAACAGTCTGCCAGAGATGAAACTACTCACACCAAGAGACATAATAAACAAAACTGCCATGGTCATGCGTAAAGTAAATCTTCATGAATGAAACTGTACTTTTCTCGGCATGAGCTCTTTAAATATACATTCTGTCCTATACGAACATAGAAGTGATGCCAGAACAAGAAAGTTTTGATTACAAGTCTCAACGAATGACTAAGGTGAAGTTTTATATCATTTCTCCTAGAAAACGGGATAAAATCTATTCAACCCGCTCTCTGCGCTCTGAAAAACGAATGATCACTTAATCTCTAGAACACGATTCGATCAGCTAAGATTGCGAACAGTTTCACGCGTATGCCTTTATCTTTCTGAGGGTATGGTTTTAACTCTGTGCTACAATTAAAATATAAATATACAGCAGTAGAGCAATTAACAAGAATTGATGCTCTCCAGTTCCATCAATGAAATCTCTATCGCAGACGAAAGCTTGTAAGGGAAGGTATTTGCCGCATGAGCAAATTCTTTTGAACAAGCAATTAATTCGAACTTGCTGCGGTTCAACCAGCCGAGATGTAGTTGACTGGCGAATAATCAAGACAACTTTGTATTTTAGCATTGTCAAAGGGGAGGTGGCAAACTGAGACAAAATGTTGACTTTGAACTCCAGGTTTCGGGTTCTAATCCCTTGAAAGGCAACCTCTGCCATATTCGATAGATCCCTTGGATAAAGAAAAGAATTAGCACTAGGTTGATTTAGCGCAACCAACCGAGAAAAATGGGGAAAATGTGGACGACATGGCATTTTGATGAATCACGTCAGAAAGGACGAGGAGTACAGTACCGCCATGCATTCCGATGCAAATACCCATTGGAACCTGATACCTGACTACGGTGATAATGATCAATTGATAGTGTAATCCTGATTTCAATTTCTTGTGGCTGCACTTCCGTGAGGCAAGCGATAACTGTCTATCAAATGTGATGTTCAGAGTGAGGTTAAGCGTCGAAAAAAAGAACGCAATTTCAGAGAAGCCTGTTGTCCATTCTCTGAAGGAGAATTACATCAATTATTTTTACATTAATTACAACTAGGTTTCACTTCAAGGATCTCCACGTGGTGATTACCAAAAACAGATCTGCGTATGAGAATATTTTGCAATCACAGCATTTGGAAACGTGAAAAGTGTCTTGCTTCGACAGAGCTGGGTTTGGCAGCGAAAGTCAAGGATTGCGTGTATCCTGTCGTCTAGTAAGACAGCTGCTGTACAACTCAGGTTCAGCGAATTTGTTGAAATTGGATGAGGGCCGCATAAAACTGTTCCAGAAACCTCATCTTCGTAGTTTTCAAGACTTCGCTGATATCACCAAGTAATGAATTGGTAGGCGCTCTCTACAACACCATTAAATGAATTCAGTCCATGCTATGGATGTGACCAATTTCATGGATCATAGTAGAGGCTACATATCACCTGTCATCTGGTTCTTCGATGAAAATTTAGCCATGCAATTTTTTACGCTAAAAGCCTACGGCGAAGGTGAGATATAGCATTCAGGTTGATATTCAAATACCACACAGTGGCTCTTTCATGGAAGTAGCTTTCATGAAAATTGTTTATGATTTTATGGCTTTACCTGTTATCCATGTGACGTCGCACATTGAAGCTTTGTAAGCATTAACGGACAGGCCAACGATGTACAGCCATTACCCGAGAGTTAAAAGCTTAGCGCTAGTAGATGTTGTTGAAAAGAGGTTTTCAAGGAGATATCACTTGTTTTCGATTAAAGTATAAAAATATTAACTTATTTAGACATTTTAATCATTTGAATATTTTAGCTCTGATCCATAGAGTGCGCAACCAGTGTTGAATTCAGAGCAAGATTCGCAAGGCTCTTACATCTCAAAATGGCGAGTAACCTATGAATAGGGTCTTACCTGTTGTAGTTATCCTCCAGTTTTTTATATGATTATTTCTGTTTTGATGCCGGAGGCATGGCTTTTCTAAATATATTTTGAATGCTATTGGAAATAGTAAGAGAGGCTTGAAAATTGAACACTGTTTGGTAATTAAATTTGGAGATTAGTTTAATGGTCTTCATGAGATTGCTGCGCATACATGTTTTATTATATAAATTACTAACGTTTCCAGCTGTTATTTGGCTCGTTGTCATTGTACCTTCATTTTGAAAGTATCAGAGGTACCTTAAAAAATAACTGTCAAAACCATTAGTGCATTGCACCAAGTAGTTGAAAAACCTCATTGCTGATTAAGACGTTGCAACAATGATTCTGAGTGAGTAGTTTCTATGAAAAATTGCTCGACATCATGCACAAAATGTCTCAATTACAAAGCTAGCCTGTTTGTTACTTTCGAAGTATGCTATTGATAATTTGTGAATAGTAATATAGGAAATGACCCTGTTCGGCGATTTTGATCTCGCGTTCGATCGGAATGCACACACCGTCAGTGCAACTGAAGTTAACATCGCATTCGTCCGACGAGTAACACGATTTGCTTTCGTAGTACTTTGGAATGCACAGTTCTTGGACACAGACAAGCCCTTTGGGACAACCGCTGCGTCCGTAACAGCCAGGGGTGGATCTGCTTCCGGTGACCAGGCATAGGTTTGAGATACAGGTGAATCCGGGGCGACATACCTTGCCCGGCAGGCAGGAAGTAATCGGGTTGGTTTTCTTTGGGAAGCAAATGTCGTACTTGCACCGACTGTTGCGTTTGCAGTCGCACTGCTTGCTGCAGGACGGAATGCTGAGCACGGAGTCAGGCAGACAAGCGCGACTGCCACATGAATAGCCAACTGGACAGTCCACATGCGTCTGACATTTCTTCAGTGACAAAGCTGATCCGTTGATGCAGCGACCCTCTTGACAGACGAAACCTCGAGGACATGTTTTGTACGAAACGCAGGACGTAAACGGAGCACCGGAAGAAGGCAACGGACTGAAGCAGTACTTTTTAAAGCCATTTTTGCAGCATTTCCTCTTTCCATCGCATTCGCTATCACATTTGCACGTTTTCTGGCGTTCTTTGGACGGAAATTTCGGACACAAGCCTGGTTTTTCCGTTGGAAACACTAAAATGAGTATTAAAAACAGGTCTGCACATTATACTTGGTATCGTACAGCTGCAGTGCGATTGACGGAACATGCATACACGCTCGTTCCTGCTTTTGCAGCACTTCATCATACGTGGGCATTCCAAGTCACTGCTGCACGGATATGCACTTTCAGGCGGGTCGTTATAGACCGGACAGTATCCTGGCTTTTCCTTCACTAAAATTCATCAGTAAATTTTCTTGTTATACGCATTGCTGCTGTACTGAATGTATTCCAATCACGTTTGTTTGTAGAAAGACAGAATGTGCCATCGGGAGTTAAACAGCACTTCTCGCGTTCTTTGCAGTCTTCATCGATAATGCAGGAAACTGGTTCGGGTATGTTTCCGATGCTTGCTTTAGGACACACTCCTGGTCTGGCTAAAATACAACAACAGTTATGCCCAGAATTTTGCCACCAGAATCAGTAAACGTATGTCTTACAAGGACAGGACTTGGCAGACATGCAAAATTTGCCAAAGTGGGTTTGACAGCAACTGCGACCACGGCGGCAGGATTTGGCAGAGCTGCACTTGTCCTTGCGGTGCAACGAGCTCAGAATCTGTGACGCGTAGTTAAGCCAGTGGCCCGGCTTTGAACTTTTGGCCTTACCAGACTTTGACTCGCACAAGCCGTTGAAACATCGATGGTGTGGTGGACATCGTTCGTGTCTGGCACAGTCTCTCCAATTACTTGGCTTGGGAATACATATGCCGTATGAGCAAATATGCTCGATTGGACAAAGCTTTATAGAGCTGCACTGAGTCCAAGGTTTAACACCTTCTGGCAGGCACAGAGTATTGCCATAGCAAAGAAACCCGACTTTGCAATGCTCGTCCGATGAGCAAGCGGGTAAGGTCTCGATTTCTCCAGGAAGGCATAACGAATTCGAGCAGCGAAATCCTGCCGAACAATCCTCATCAGCCTCGCATGGCTTCCTTTCCAGTACTTTCGACGGAATACAGTAATCATCGACGCAGGAGAACGTTCGTGGACAGTCACGACTGTTCATACATCGCTTGAAACCGATTTTCTTGTTCGATATGCAGTAACCACCGATGCAAATGCTGTTCGGGGGACACAGGTGTTTGGAAGAGCACCTCATCGTTTGTGGCAAGTTCGACTCACGTGGTTTGCTGCAGTACTTGTGATGCTTGGGACCGCAGCACTTCGTGTCATGGGGGCAGTCACCGTCGCTCTTGCATGGCAGCGAATCCGCCGTGAGATTCAGATGGCTAGGGCAGGTTCCTCTCTTAACTTCTGGCGCGTTGTGCGCCGACTTTTCAGACAACCGGCTGTTCGACATATCTCGTTGTGTTTCAGGCACTGAGGAAGAAATCTCGCTGCAGTACTTCTTATGAAACCCTGGACAGCATTTCTGGTTTCCCTCGCAATCCCTGTCTGTCGTGCATTCTACCAACGCTGCGACGTGAACCGGACAAACCCCCGGCTTCTTCAACTGATCGGTGAGCGGCGAAACGGGTGAAGTGCACACTTTTTGGTTGGCCGTATTGCAGCACTTCTGAGACTTTGGACAATCGCTGTCGTCGAAACATAGCGGCGAATTACGTGCTATCTGCCAACTGGGTGGACACTTTCCAGGTTTTTTCTGCTGCACTCTTTCCGGAGTAACGCAAAACCTGTTCGGACTGGGTCCACAGCATTTCAGGTCCTTGGG